TCATGTGCAAAATATGTGTTGTTAATTATTTGGTAATTGCTTGTTTTTTTTTTTTAAGTAAATTATTGTATCTCCAAGTTAAAAAATTAAGAACAAAAAGAAATGTATTTTTAAGGGACAAAAGTATAAAGTTATAATAATTGAATTTTAATAACAAAATGTATTATATATTTGTAATTATTTTATCGATAAATATACCGGTTGATTTCAATTGAATTTATTAACTATTCTATTATTCTAATTAAAGACATTAATTAAGAATATTATATACCTAATTAAATACTTTTATTTTTTTAAATGTGTTAAGTGATTTATAAAAATATTATTCATATAACATTTTTATTTTATAATCTTTATGAATATCTTGAAGATAATAGTCAACAAAATTATCATGTACACAAAAAATAAGGTAAGAAAAAAAAAATATTTTTTCCTAAATAGTCAAACTTCACAAAAATCAATAGATAAATCATTAAATATTTAACAAAATACTACTTCCATTTTTACTAATTATATCTTAATGAAAAAAACCCTATAAATATATCAAAATAATAAATAAGAGATAAATAAATAATATGCTATAAAATTATAAATATATTTAAGAAAAAGAACTAATGAGTTTAATCACCGTGAACTGAGTGTAAAATATGTCACTTATAAGATAATAACTATAAAAACTATGAATTTTATTATATAATTATTTATGATTAAGTGTGTTATAACCTCTTTGATCAAAAACTAATTACTTTTAATCTGTATTTTATAATTTTAATGAATATAAAAAGTAGAAAAAACAATAAATAACATATAAATTTTATGTAAAAAAAATCAATAATATTAAATGATTTGACCGGAAAATATTAATATTAAAGTACATTTTCTGAGTAAATAAATAAAATTCATATCCATTAAAGGAAAAAATACCTAATAAATAAATATTAATGGTAACGCCAACAATTAGGCATGACAGTTTTCGCATTTCACAATGCAAGGGTAGTTTAGTAATCTTTGAATTTCCCCTTCCCCAAGCGATGCATCTTTACGGTGCGTACCCTTCCATTTTCACTATATAAAATTATAAATAGGACACAAATTGCGTGTAGAGAGAGAAAGACACATATCACAGAGTGGTGCGAGAGAGAGAGAGAGAGACGGTGTTTTCTTCTGTAACTTCCATTTGCTTCAAGCCTTTTCAAGGAATCCAAAGAGGTTGTTGCCAATGACTAAAAAGCAAACGAAGGTTCCTTTCAGCAAGGAAGACGCTGCTTCTCTGTTGCAAAGGTTAGTTCCATTTTTATTTTTCAAGTTTTTTTTTCTCGCTGAGGATCATAGTTTAATAATTAATTTGATTTTGATTTTTTTTTATACATCATATATGTATGCACTATGCAGGTATGATGCAGAAACTGTTTTGGTGATGCTTCAGGAATTGGCGAATCATCCACACTCTAAGTTCGATTGGGAGGAGTTGGTGGCGAAAACCACAACAGGAATTTCCGATGCAAGAGAGTATCAGATGCTGTGGCGTCATATAGCGTATGGTCACTCCTTCACTGAAAACGAAAATGAAGATGCTCCACTGGTTTGTATATTACATTTTTCTTTTTAATTATTATTAACACGATGACAGTTTGCATTATAATTTTCGTATCTTCCTTCTTTTTCTTCTTTTATATTGTTTGTTATATCCTCAGTAATGTTTTGATGTTTGTTGTTTTTTCATAGATTGGATTTGGAGACCAAGCCTCTCATGGCTTTATCTTGTTCTTAAATCTATGATTTAACTGACTTTTTCAAAGTAATTAAGTCATGTGAGGATCATTAGCTTCCTTGTGCGTGTTTTCCTGGATAGATCGAAACCGAATATATTCTGTGCGTTTTTTTGGGATAGAACCTGACTATACATGAATCCGTTGTATGTGTAAAATAAATTTTTAACACTCCAGTGTAAGATATTCTGGAATGTATGGAATTGGCTAAATTCATTCAAGAAAGAATTTATTGCTAGGTTTAGTCCTCTTTTATGAAAAGATTCGATTATCAAGTTAATTTATTATAATAATTTGTGTGTTTATTCTTTTATGCTACTGTTGGATATATATAAGCGAGAATGAGATTATAATTTTTAGAGGTTAAATTTATGAGTTATGAATATATACGTAATCACGTTTTCACCTTTCTTTTATCACGAGATTATTCTATTTTGCTTTTATCTTTTCTTTTTATCTCTTTTTACACTTTTGCTTTCTTTCTATCTATAATTCCTTCCATTTATTTACCTTTATTCTTTTCTTAAAGTTTATGTGTATGTTGTTACATTGCTTTGCTTATATTTGTTCATGTGTGTACTGCGCCGCCTTAGTGTCTTTTGCTATGAAAAGTTAAGAGTCCTTTTTATCAAAAGAAAGAGAGTGTACTATACTACCTTTCCTGTGTTAGCAAAGTCAATTGATAAGAATTAAAGGCATGCAATATTATAATTAATATTTTCATAAATATTTTAATTATATAATTTTTTTTTTCTTATTCCTCACCCCGAGCCCGAGGGAACCTATGAGCCCTAACTCTATAGTGTTTCTGCACCATGCAAATAGCTACAAATCAAAGCTTTAATAACACTTAATCTAAAAATATTTTATCAGTCTTAGTTAATTAATGAAGTACCAAGTTTGTGTTGTAGCCTTTTATTCAATTTTTCTTGCTTTGAAAATCTTAAAATCAAATTTAGTTATTCTGTTAAAAAAATCCATAAATTTCTAATTCATAAAAACTACTTTGTTTTCTTTTAGATTTATATTTCATGATGAATATAAATCAAATTTAGCTACAAGTCAATGTTCATTATTTTATTGTATCAAGTGGTAGTAGCCGGTGAATATAGTTGAGTTTGACATTAGCATAAATATTCACCACATGCATGTAAATTAATGAACATTGTAAGCCACCATCTACATCATTATTTTAATTACTATTTTGATCTTGAACTTTCTTTTCTCAAATCAGTTTTGCACTCTATCATGTCTTTTTGTTTGATTTGTTATTCTTAATTAAGTTATTGAATTTGTTTAACACTTTCGTTCATACATACTTGGAGTCTTAGTTGCAGGATGATGATAGTGACTTGGAGTGTGAACGAGAAGCATTACCCCGTGTAAACAAGGAAACTGCTGCGGCATGTGTAAAGGTGAAACCTATCCAGATATGCTAAGATTCTGGTTCTTGGTTAATTATATATTCGCATCATGGCATACTCTCCAAATTTTAATTAAATATATATTTCAAATATGGAAGAATATGTATAACATTTTCTTAAAGAAGATATTTAACTTGAGAAGAGGAATCTAGGGTATTTGACTGCCCAGTCATTCCATTTCTTATTGCTATAAGTTTCTTCTTCCATATCTTATGAAGATGAACCAATTGGGCTTGAGTTCGAGTTGATTTTAGAATTTGATTCTCAAACACTATTATTAGCTCATGATAAGGGATTGTATTCTTAATCTGCATTCGGGGTTACTTAGTTATTATCTCCGTATGGGAGATAATTCTGCCCGAGCCAATATGGCAACATATTAAAAACTTCGGGAACATTTGTTTATAAACTACGAGGTCTAGTACCGTTTGGATAATTTATTATTTATTATTTTTTATTATCCTTATAGTCTGAAGAGATCGATTCTTCTTGTTTTTTCCTTAATTAATTTTATTTCCTATTATTGTCTTGAAATTATATATATATATATATATATATATATATATATATATTTTATATGAGGAGAGATTCACTAGCTTCAAAAGTAGATATATTTAAATTTATTTTGATTAATAACTTATATTTTATATTAAATTTTAGTGATTTAACCTTTTAAAAAATTTCAAAAATTATTTAATACTCCATTTAATTAATTCAAATTGATAGATAATTATAAAAAATACTTTATATGTTGATTTGAATCAACAAAAAGAATATTAAATAATTTTTAAATTTTATAAAAATTTACATATTTTATCTAAATTATTAAAATTTGATGTAGAATATAACTATTAAAAAAACTTATTTTTGGAATAAATTGATCTTTTATATATATATATATAATTATATATATTTGGTAGCATTAATTAGTTAAACTAGATAAATTTTAATTAACAGCATGAAGAGTGTGGCCTGCGTGAGAGTCCAGCTAATCTTAAAAAAAGTGGATCCAACAAATTAAAAGTGGATCCTACAAAGTTTTTTTTTTCCATCATAAATATAAAATAAAAAAAATTTGTATCCCGATCCATGTATATTCCATATATATTTACAAACATTATCTCCGTATATATACTCATGCTTTGCTTCTGACTCTGAGGGTTAGCCTAGCTGACATGTTAGTGGTGCATAGTAACACTGTTTTTTTTTTGTTCTTCTTATACAGGCAGAGTTCACTTTCGTGTGAATGTTTAAACTATCTATGATAGTTAATTCTTGTTCTTCAGTTCTGACAAGTGTCCTACTGTAAAATATTTATTGTTTAGGTAATGATATCATCTTTTAAGCTGAACGAGTGCATCTCTACTAGCTCAGTGATTCAGGCACCATTAACTATAAATGTTCCAGTCCTTGATTCAACTACAATTGCTAAAGAAAGTTCACAATCCTCTAATCTAAGGACGCAAGAGACAGAAATTATTTTTCCAGTTACTGTTAAGAGAAAGCCACTGCCCCCCAATATAAGAGCTGTTGAAACTGGTGGAGGGTTAGTCAGTAGCGACACATCCATTAAAAAGAAAAGATCAGCGTGGTCAGAGGAAGAGGACATGCAACTACGGGCAGCTGTTCAGAAGTGGGGTGAAGGGAATTGGGCGCATATGGCTAAAAGAGATGACTTTCCTATTAAGAGAAGTACCTCACAGTTGTGTAAGGTGATTTTTCCAGCCCTAAACTGTGAACTTATATAACCATTAATTATTTGTTATTAATATGTTTTTTTTATTTTATTTTATGAGTGGTGTACTATTTTCAGGCTTTTAACCAGTAAATATGTTAAGCATGCATGATTAACATATGTTATCAGTATCACGTTGATCAAATGATGAGTAAAGTGGACCTTTCAGATTTTGTTTTCTTCTACTATCGGAAGCAACTTTGTTTGATTTTTTAAAATTTTTTATTTTAATATTCTAAGACTTTATTTTAAATTAATCTAATTCGGTTAGGAGGTAAATAAAGTGACACTGAAGTTTTTTAAGTATCTTGACATCTTATATGGAAGCATATTGAACATTCAATTTGAATGAAAAAAATAGGTTTGCATGTAGTTGAAATATATTTCTAATCTATTAATTTTATATCGATTAAATCTATTTGATCTTTTGACAACTAACTAAATATATATTCCGTTTGTTTAATTTTTTTTATAAAAATATTTTTTAATAAAATAAGTACTTTTTGCTTTTTAATGTATTTGTCTACAATTTTTTAAAAGAAACAATCCTATTATCTTCTTAATTATTTTTAAAGTATTTGTTTAAAATCATTATTTTAAAGTTTAAACAAATGGAACAATGAAAGGACATTATTTAAATGTTGTTAGAAGAAAACAAAGAGTTTTATTTTTGTGACTTTGTCTTCCTCTTCGGATTTTGGATTTCATGCTTCAATGAAATGATGTGATGAATAATGGGATTGCATACAAATGTAATATCTTGCGCTTTTATTTTTTTTATTCAAATTGCAGACCTGAGTTTGTTTTCTCATACAGATGCCTAATGTGATGATTGGAGTTTATTTTGAGTTATTTGTGACTGCGTGGATTTAGTACCTGTAGAACATATTTATTTTTCATGTTGCATACTGTTGTGGATTATTTAATTACTTGCAGAGGTGGAGCACCTTACGAAAGAAAGAGGATGGCACCAGTTGATAAATCATCTCAACAAAGCTTACAATCTACCGCCGAAAGATTCGTTTGTTTTTATCCATTTACCAAACAATTCAAAATATTCAATTTAAATTTTTGTTCAATTAATTATTAGTGATTTGTTTCTATCCTAGGCTAATCTAATTTTATTCTGGGAATGTATACATAATTACAATACATAAATATACTTGGTTTCAACATTCCCAATTCAAATGAAGCAAAATAACTCTTTAATTTGAATGAATCAATATATCCCTTCATTTTAAATAAAACAAGATTACTCTTAATAGTCCTGACAAATGATGATTGATATAGAATTCAGCAAAAATTTAAAATCATGAAATGCTAGATTTCTATTTTGGTTGCAGGTGTAACCAACTCGTCATTAAAAATATAGTAGGAAGAAATAATAGAAAAAAATTCTGATATAAAGATTTCCATTATTATGTAAACCAAAAACTCTTCGATTTAAATGAAATAACACATCTTTTGTTTTGAAATTTTCATCGTTATTATTATTTTTAAACAGATCAAGAAAAATATAAAAAAAAAAACTAATCAACTGATTTAAACTATAACCCCTGCTTCATTCTTCATAAGCATAGGAATTAAGGAAGGAATAGCAGAGGTGCAGAATTTCCATGAAGGGTGATTTTCTGACCCTCTATAAATATGGGAGGTCGAAATAAACCAATTCAGATTCGGCAAAACTTTAATGTCTCGTAGACTCGTACTAGTTATAGCACGGATGAGAATTGAAAAGTATGACAACCATCTTTGATCAATATATATTTCATTGATAACGTTTTGAAGAATAAATATTATGAGGGGTGTGCTTGGTTTGGAACATGTTGGATGTCAATGTCATTCAAAGTGGCAATAAAAAGTGCTTTTAGACATATCCTTCCTACAATTCAATTATCGAATCAAAATATGATGTTTGACCATCTCCTTGTGTCCAACTAAATTCTTTTCCTAACGGTCCCATTTTCTTAGTTAAATATGGCGGAAAAAGTATATATTTAAAACATGTATGCTTATTAATGTTTATGAAATTAAACATTTAAAAGGAGACATACTTTGACATGAAATTTACAGAAAAAATCATTTGTTTTCCCTAATATGTGAATACACAAGAACTAGTGCATTATAAGAAAGGGTTGTATGTCAAAATATGAAATTAAATGCAGCAAGACTACTCGTAGGGTAGTGGAAGTTGATCTTATTGTGGTTCGGGTGCTTCAGTGATACTGTATTGTCTGTTAAATGTTGGATTGACACATGCAAATAGAGATGGGTGATGCTTTTGCTTCTTTAACTTGACTCCAAATAAGAAAGATCTCAAGGGTATTCGAGCACGACTACTGGAGTGTTTCATATGAGCATTACTCTTATTAACATTACTATCAGTACCAATGACTCCATCTAGCTCATCTAGTGTCTTCTCGACGTCATCCTTCATTCCCTTCACAAGGCTAAGACCTGCTTGCAGTTCGCTTGCAACCTTGCTGTTCTCTTGCTTCATGTTGAGAATCTCACCCTGAAACTTTGCAGCTTGGTACTTACTCATTAGCTCGGCCTCTTCAGCACCGGATTCCATGTTTGCTGCTCTTGCAATCTCATCTTGGATGTTGGACAAAGATGAGTACCTTCCTTGCAGTTCATCCTGCAACACTGCATTGTGTTCCACCCACAGTGATAACTCAGTTCTTATCTCTCTTAGGTGTCTGAATATTGGCTTGAGTTGAGATTGTATAGGCTGTGGTTTAGAATATGAATACCCTTCAGACTTCTTGTTTTTTTCCCTTATCAATTTTAGCTCAGCTTTTAAGTCCTGAATAGAGTTTTGGAACTTTTGAATCTGATGAACTGAAGTGCTAAACCTCAGCCAAAACTCCAGGTTCTCTTCTAGCAAATCGTCAATGTCCGAACGGAATTTCTTTTCCAAATCTGAAAGATCATGGCACTTATCTTGATGTGCCATCAGCTTCTCTAGTGTCATTCTCATAGATGATAAGGCATTATTTCCTGTTCTCTCAGATTCAACTTGTTCTGCAAAATGGGATTTTGCATCTAAATTTGAAGATGAAATTTTTGACTCCGCTTCTTGACCTGCTTTTTGAAGAAGCCCTTCATGTGGCGTGTATTTGTATTCTGTGGTGGTGGTGTAGGGACTTTCATCCGGATTTCCATCTGGACAGTTCATCTTCTGATGTAAAATCTGTATCTCTTTATCCTTTGTCACAAGAGCATTCCTCATTTCCCTTAGCTGCAAGGGAAATTCTATATAAGAGTGGAGGTCATTGTCCTCACTATTTAATACCAAAGCCATAGCAATGTACTCTATTTATAAGGAGAAGTTCTTGTATTGTTTAGACAATAATATCAAAACATTCTACTTTGTTTTATAACTACTATTCTCTTTTAAAATAAATGGAGCTTTTCTTTCTTAATCTAAGAATATTTATGCAAGTGGATGTTTGTTTTATACTTAAAATTGTGAATACCATACTGCTAATAATAAAATCATGCTAGAATATTTAATATATTCTATACTTGTTTTGGAATTTCATCAATAAGTTAAATTATACATATTAAGTAAACGTTATAGATTGATCATTGCTTACCTGAAGTGTCAACTCAAAAATGCTTTCCCTATTTTTCTTTTCCACATCATTGAGCTTCACCCTTACATCCTTATAATTCACTAAGACCGAAGTGTACTCCTCCAGCAGAATCTTTTCTCTGTCATCTAATCCACTTATAAACATCTGCCTCCAATTAGGTTGATCTTCCTCACTAGCTTCCAAATCATGTGATTCAGTGTCAAGGTTGCTCACTGTATCAGATAAATCATCCTTATCTGGTTGTACCAGCTTCTGAACACTTAAAGTTCTATCACTCAAATTGGACCTGTTATCATCCTCATCCTTTATTGTCGACAAGTTAGCACCAAGTTTTTCAGTCCCTGGTTTATCATCAGCAGCACTTTTCTTCTTGTAAAGTACCAAGTTCTCCTCCCCCTCCTCATCTTGTTTCATGTAATTCAATTTTTTAGAAAGGTGCTCAATGTTACAGCTTGCTTCAGTGAAGTGTGTTTGGAGGGTGTTGTCTTGAGATCTGACACTTCGGTTGAGCATTTTAACTCTCTGCAACTCATCCTCCAATTTCTTTAGCCTCTGGTTGGTAGCTTCTGAGCCTTCTATGAGCATTTCCTTGTCTTCATTCAACTTCCTTATGTTTGTGTGAAGTTCATCTGTTTCTGATTTTAGTGTCTTTACCAAACCAGTCTGAGATGAAACCGCAGTTTCCAAGGTAACAACCTTATTTACAAGCTCATCAATGCACTCAGCCATTTCAGTCACAGTGAGGGTATTACCTGAATTTTCCTCCAACTTTTGTTTAATCTTCTCTCTCAACAGCCCCACATCATGCTCCTCTTGCTCCAAGTGATCCATCTCTTCATCTATGCATTTTTTATCCGTTCCTGCACTCTCAGGAACTTGGTCTTGTTTACTCATATATTTAGAAATGAATTGGTCTCTAAGGGTCTCAAACATCTCGTGAGCTTTCTTAACCTTTTCATACTCCTCTTTAGCTTCTTTAGATGATTTTTCTTGTATCTCTTGCAACTTTTTCAGGGTCTCTTGGCATGATTTTAGAGCTGTGGCTGCCATCAAAGCTCTAGCATCATTGTCTTCTATCATTGTACCAACACCAAACTCATCTTGCAAACTGCAAACTCTTTTCTGCATTGATGTGATCTGGTCTTCAATCTCCCAGTACTTTTCATAGGCGCGTTCATACAAACTCCTCACAAACTCTTTCTCAGTTTGTAATGCCAATATTTCTTTCTGAAGCTTGTCAATTTCTGTTAAGGCTTCAACCTTGGAAAGACCTGAAGTCATAACGTTTGGAACATATTTTGCAGAGCTACTAGACCTCCTAAGATTGCCCTTTCTGGAGAGAAACATGGATGGACTTCTAAACTCCTTCTTTGGTGTCTTGGGAACTTTAGGAATTGTTGGTTTATTTTGTGTTTGTTTGTTGTCGGGGACTGGTGTTGATGAATTAGTTCCTGTGTCACTTTCTTCTTCATCATCTTCTTCAATTTGACATGGAACTTGGTCTGGGAAGACGCTGGCTATTGTGCGGTTTGCACTTTGGAGTTCCTTTGATAAATGATCATATCTCTCTGCTAAGGCTTTATATGCTCTAAAGGCTTCTTGCGCAAAATTTACCAGCTCTGGCCTCTTCTTGTAATACATTTCAGCCCTCTTTGCAAATGAGTCCCCCTCATCACACAGGATGGAGAGGGTTTCAGTAACCTTCTCCTCCATATCTGTTATTATTCATAGACAGTAAATTTTATTCAAAAAGTTAAAGTAAATTCATTTAGATGAGAACTTCAGTTCTTAGAAACACAGGGAGGTTTATGCACCCATGAAATTGACACAACTATACCATTAATCTATTTTCCTATGTTTCTACCATTTTGCTTCACTTTCTCTAAAATCATGGATTAATTCTACACCATGTCTTTTTATGTGTACATAACATGTACCACCCCAGACAATGGTGCATAAAAGGTAACTACTATACATTGAAAGAAAAACATAATGTTTATGCATGTGAGTTGCAAGGAATCATGATCAACAAATTTCCACAAATTTTCCCAAATAGTTAGGGAAATCAAGAGAAAATGAGAATGTTGGTCATTCTAAAATTGCCTGAAATTTTTATAATTTGATACCTCCTAGGTCTTATGTTGATGAACCTATGTTTTTATGTTACTAGAGATATTGGAAAAAGAAATAAAATAAAAAAGAGTCCAGATTGATTATTGAGGATCAATTAGATACATGCATACTAACAAACGTACCTTGGAGGCTTTGATCCAGCCATTTTGACTGCTTTGTCCTGATGTGGCTGGCCCACCACCATGTATATGCATTGCTTGCTGCCCTTTGCAACATTTTTGTTCTAGGTAGCAATCATACACATTCAACCCATTGAAGTAAAACCTTGGTGATGAAGATTTACTGAAGCCAACAATGTGATAGACAAACAATGATGCACAAAATTTCTGATCAGAGAAAAGCTTTGATTTTGATTGACATGGTGATTAATGAAACTGAGGGGAAAAGAAACCCATAGGTTGGCGAAAATGTCCTCTTATGGGGTACACATGGAGAGGAGGATACTTCGCCACATGCATACGTGTAAGGTGTTGGCTCCTTTGAAGTGCTCAAAAGTTGGAGGGCTTATATTCATAAATTTTCCTTGTTGGGTTGGTTTAGCCAGGCTGAACCTAAGAAAAGGAATTTAACAAGAACATAAATACTTGGTCCTTTTTCTATTATGATGGGTATGTTTTGGGAAAGTTTTCGGTTGCTATAGTAACAACGAGCTAATTAGTTCTAACTTCCTCACCATAATTCGACAGCAATGGTATGTTGCAAACTGTTTCTTTCATGCATTAGGAACCCATATGTGTCTATGTTATTAGACAAATATTATTTATTTTTTTTTAAAAAAGAACTTCGATGAAAGTAGAGATGAATATTAATTTTCGTATCTCTAGGATTCTTACTAATAACCTTTTTCATAATTCGATTAACCACTTTTCTTTAGAAAAAAATGGAACTAACGTGAATAAAAATGTTTAAAATTAATACGACCGTAAGATATTACATGTTAATTTTCCATATAATTAGTTAACGTTGTTAATTTGTTGTCCTTGGGATGAGGGCATCCGCATATCGGTTTCTGTTAGAAGATTATATGCTGGAAAGCCTAGAAATAAAAAGTTACATAGTGCAATTATTTTGTTTTATTTAGATGATTGTTTCCGATAGGCCAAATTCTAGATTGAGACCAACAAATGATATTGGGTAAACTAGATTGAGAATGCACTCGTGGTGAATCTAACGCAATTTTTCAACACTATTTTTTGTTGGATGGATCATTTTAAAAGTTTAAAATATGTTTAATTATTAGAGACCAATTTAAAAAGTTACAAGTAACTTTCGCATATTGAAATTTAAAAGTTTAGAATGTATGTCAATTATTCTTAGATAAGGATCAATTTAAAAATTATTAATAATTTTTAAGAACTAACATGAATTAATGTAAAGACTAAATCGTACTCTAAACATACTCTCAAGAATTAAATTGATGCCTTAATAAAGGTAAAAAAAAAAAAATCTTTAAAACAAAGTCTTCAATTTGATTCTTTAACTAAACAATATTTTAAAATGTCCTTATGATGTGATATTTTTTTTTCTTCAAATCAGATGTATATGTTTCTATGAACACATTGAATTCTAATGTTACACTTAATGTGTCACGTTAATTATTGTAATATCATTTATGAACTCTTGTCTATCTAAAAGCTAATTTAGTGGACAAAAATTACTTTTAAATATTTTCTTTTAGTTTTTCATCTTTAAGGGACAAAATTATTCTTGTTATGTACTTTTAAGACCAATTTAATGGTTTAAACTTATTTTTTTTTATCAAAAAATACATATAATATTATATAGGTTAAAACTCTTATTTGGTCCCTTATAATATTTTTTGTTTCAATTTAGTCCCGCTTTAATTTTTTGTTTCAATTTAGTCTCCAATAATTTAAATTATTACAATTTGGTACTTCTGTCTAAATAATTTAAACGGAGCTAACTGTTGGCCACGTAGATGTCACGTAGATAGATGCTAAATTTTTTGAATACACATGAAACCAGAACGGCCCGTTCTGAAACCAGAACGACCCATTCTAAAACCAAAATGGCCCGTTCTGGGTTGCACTCTTGGTGTGTAAATTTTGTACCTGAAATGGACCGTTCCAGATGCCAAATTTACACACCAATAGTATAATTAGAACGGGCCATTCTGGTTCCAGAATGGTCAATGCCTACGGTTCACGGTTGTGAATCGTGCAATGAAAAAGACCCAAGGTACAAAATATTTCAAACACTAGATTTGATAATATTGTCAATGGGGATTGATAACTTCAATTGCTAAACATTTGGGCTATAAAGTGTATCATTAAGTACGATGCAGTGTATCACTAAGGACAATGGTAGTAAGTTTTATTTCATTGTTAGTCAAACTGGAGTGAATCACTTACTACTAAATTGACACTATACAGTCAATGATGAAACGAAACGATGTTTCCCCTTGAAACAACCTGTTCTTGAGGAGTTACAACCTGAATTTTTGTGGTTTGTTTCCTTTCAGCGTTACCCAGATGATTTCCTTTCTTAGTAATTTCTTTGAACTTTTTTAGTATATGTTATGTTCTGAATTTTTGTTTTCAATTTCTAAACCATATTTCTGTCTTTGAATTTATGATATGCTATGAATTTTTATTTTCAATTTTTGAATCACAATGCGGCATTTTGGTCGGCGCATGCATGAAGTTGGCGTTCTGAAACGGGCCGTTCTGAATCCAGAACGACCCGTTTTGGTTTCAGAACGGCCCTTTTTTATGCACTCATAGTGTGTTAAATTTGCATTTGGAACGGTCCGTTCCAATTGCAAAATTAACACATAACATGTGCATGCAGAACGGGCCGTTCTGGTTTCAGAACGGGCCGTTCTGGTTCCAAGTGTATTCATGAAATTTGGCGTCCATCTACGTGGCATCCACCTGGCATCCACGTGACCAACAATTAATTTTGTTTAAATCATTTGGACGAAAGTTTCAAATTGCAATAATTTAAATTATTGGGGATCAAATTGAAACCAAAAATTAAAGTGGGACTAAATTGAAACAAAAAAATATTATCAGGGACCAAATAAGGGTTTTAACCTATTATATATGAGATACAAGGAGTACTTAACTCATATATAAATAACAAATTCCTAGATAATTTAAAAAAAAAATAGAAAGAAAAACCCTTCACCTTGGTACATATAACTAAGATCTAAATTTAATTCAATAATCACTTACTCTCCATTTGGTACCTCACTTTTGAAAACAATATATGTAGCCATCAAATCCATATGAAGGTAAGCAATACAACCCACCTAGCCCCTTACATTCTTTCCC